ACCTCTCCAATAATGTTGTTTTTCTCAAGACAGCACAGTGTTTATGTCTAGAATTTCCATTTGTTTCCTTTTTATAGTCTCCTTTTATTTTCTGAGATTCCTCATCTATTTACTCATTATGTTGTAATGTCCTTGCAAATTTCTACATTTCTGTCATCTTTGGATCTGTTTCTCTTGACCTGATTTCCTTAGGTATGTGTGATTTTCCTGCTTCTCACCTACCTGGTAGTATTTATCTAGATGGTGGATACCAAATTGTTAATGAGTGTAGACTTTGTTGATTTCCTTGGAAGATAGTTGAGACTTGTTCTAGCAGACAGTTTTATTTCCTGAATGATCACTTTTACTTTTTCAAGGTTTGTTCAGGACCATTGTTATGGTAGGTCTAGAGTAGTACTCAATCTAGGGCTACTATAGCTCTGTTCCTAAGCTGTGGCTTTGGCAGGGTCAGCTGAATGCCTGTGATGTTCACAGTGATCTCTCCACTCAGGGCTGGTTAAAACTCCATGTTTCCCAGCACTGTGCACTTTCTGGAATTTCCATTTATCTCATGACCTTCAAAAAGTTATTCTCAGTAAGGGCTGGCAGAGTTTTGCCCTGCACATATTCAGCTTGACAGTTGGTCAAGGAAACTCTTTTGCAGATTTCTGGAGCTTCTCTCAACAGGCCCCACCTTCCAGTTCCCTGCCCCAAAATGCAGCTTTCTCTGCAGCCTGAAATGCCAACTTCTGCTTCTTATGCCCAGACTGCTGCTCTCTGGGCTCCACTTCCTTTTATTGCTATTTGGAAGGTATCCAGGGAAACAAGCGGGGAGAATTCAAAGCTCTTCTCTCAAGGATCACAGTTCTATATGTCTGTGTGCAATGCCAAAAACCAGTTGCTTTCATTCTTTTGTAGTTCTCTATGGCCAAAGGGTTACATCTGATATCCATGACTGACTGGAACCAAAGAATTTGAGTCCTCCCTCACACTGTGCCTTTGTTGGTTCAAATGACTTATACGGTCCTTTCTGCCTACCTCTACAGCATTATCACAAAACTATGCCACCAGCATACCTATACCACCACATATATGTGCACAATCAAGACACCCTGCATGTTCCTAACAACAAACCATTTTCAATTCTTCAAAAATGCTGAAGCTTCTTCCCCCAGTCCAGGCTTCCTTCATTTTGTTCTATCTATAACCCTTGYCTCATCTCTTGGCTTCTACTTATCTTTTCAAATCAGCTTAAATATCTCTGTTATTTCTCTCTTGAGTTCACATAGCAGTCTCAACCTTCCCTAATCAAAGACATTATAAAATTTCATTATAGCTTCTTACTGAATATGAATTATATTTGCCTGCTGGATTCTAAGATATATGAGGGCAGTGTGGGGATTATCCTGTTTGATTATCAAACTTTAGTCACCTACTATTGTAACACTTATGAAAATACCAATTAAAGATTTGGGCTAGGAAAAGTACTGGATAAACCTGTTCTTATAATACCCAGAGGGAATTTACTTGAAATTCTACTCTAATAATTAGTAACCTATCTACATAGACTTTGCTTATATTGCTCTGGGTGTACTGAGTTGCCCTCTAACTATATGGCTGTCATGGCCAATTTAGCCATTTGCTTCCCTCCATTTAAAAATTCTCTGTTGCCAACTAAATTACATGTATTTTTTTGGTGGTAGGTAATTATTAAAGCTATCATAAAACTCATACCTCAAAGAAACATATTTTGTTAGATTTTCCTAAGACATATTACCAGAAAAAACAGAACCACATTTTAATTCTCTAGATATTTTTGTGACCAAGGCAAGCACTGTATATAGTWAGGTGCTTATAATGTGCCTATGATCTCAGGAGTAAAATTACAGGTACACTTATTCTAACCATTGCAGGCTTGGAAGAGAGTTCAAACTAAACATATCGGGGTCTCTTTAATCAATGTCATGGCTAATGGCAAAAATGTACAGCATAAGTCACTGTAGTATTTGAGCTAAAGGCACAAAAAATTAGTTGGATTAAACTATAAGCAATGATATCAAAGTGACAGATATGCATTGATTTCTCAACAGAAATTCAATGTGAAAAGAATTCAAAATATRTATGCAATTGACTACTAAAGGTAATGTAATACTTCTCCCCATGAAAGTTCCCAAAAGATATTTTCAAATAAAGTTAAAACAAAAACAAAAATGAAAAAACCCACAACACTTGAAAAGAGAAATATTATCACTTAAAAACAAACAAAACATTAAAAAAGCATTCACCATGATCAAGTTGGTTTCAGGAATACAAAGTTGCATGCCACACTGCAAATCAATGAGTGTAACACAGCAGATGAATAAAAATCAAGGATAAGAACCATAAGATCATCTCAATATATGCAGGACAAGCCTGTGTTAAAGCTTAACATCCCTTCATGATAAAATTCCTGAATAAATTAGGCACAGAAGGATCCTAACTCAACATAATAAGGACAACATGTGACAAACCCATGGCCAACATCACACTAAGTGGGGAAACTGAAAGCATTTCTTCTAAGATCCAAGAAAGCCCACCTTCACCCTTATTTCATATAATACTAGAAGTTTTAGCCAGAACAATTAGACAAGAGAATGAAATAAAAGGTACACAAGTAAGGAACAGGAAAGTCAAATTATCCCTATTTGCTAATGATTCTATATATAGAAAATACTTGCACTGAAAGACTTTTAGACCTGATAAAGAATTTCAGTAAAATAGCAGGATATGAAAATCATTTACAAAAATCAATACTCTTATTATACACCAATAATGAAGTTACTAAGAAAGAAATCAGAAAGAAGTCCCATATATATTAGCCATACACAAAATAACCCTTGGAATAAACCCAATCAAGGATGTGAAAAACCTTTACATCGAATATTGCAAAACACTGAATAAAGATACTGAAGGAGATACTAAAAGATGGAAAGACCACCCACATTCTTGGACTGGAGAATCAATATTGTTGAAATGGTCATTCCACCCAAAGTAATCTACAGATTCAGTGCAATCCCCATCAAAATACCAATGACATTCTTCACAGAATAAACCTAAAAATCCACATGGAAACAYAAAAGACCCAGAATAGCCAGAGCAATCCTGAGCAAAGAGAGCAATGCTGAAGGATTTATAATACATGATTTCAAAACATACTACAGAGCCATAGTAACAAAACACAGTACGTTATTGACATAAAGATAGATATGTAGACCAAGAGAAGAAAATCAAGGACCCAGAAATAAATCCATGCATAGTCAACCAACTGATTCTTGACAAAGGTGCCAAAAACTGACGCTGAATAAAGGACAGTCTCTTCAACAAATGATCTGAGAAAATCAGATACTCACAAGAAGATTGAAACTAGACCACTATCTCTCACCCTGTACAATAGTCAACTCAAAATAGACCAAAAACTTTAATGTAAGACCCAAAACTTTAAAACTACTAGGAAAAAAACAGAAGGGAAACACTTCATGATATTGGCACAGGTGATGGTTTTTTTGGGTAGAATTCCAAAGCTCAGGAAAAAAAAAAACTAAGAACCAAAGTGATTATATCAAATTTTAGTTTTAGCACAACTAGGGAGACACTCAAGTATGGACATAACCTAGAGACTGCAAGAAAATCTTTACCAGCTATTCACCTGACTGGATTAATATCTAGATTAATATAAAGAACAAAAAAATTTAACAACAGAAAACAAGTAATCCAATTTAAAAAATGGGCAAGTGACCTGAATTTATTTCTCAAAAAAAGTACAAATGGCCAATAAACATGAAAAAAATGTTCAACATCTTTAGCCATCAGGGAAATGCAAATCAAAACTACACTAAGATTCCACTGAACCTTAGTTAGAAAGGATATTATCAAAAAAATAAAAACTACTGGCAATGATGTAGACAAAAAGGAACTCACATACTGTTGGTGGTAGGAATGTTAAGTTAGTATAGTCCATGTGGAAAATAGTATGGAAGTTCCTCAAAAAACTAAAAACAGAACTATCATATGATCCAGTTATACCGCTTCTGGGTATAACTGGATCTGAAGGAAATGAAATCAGCATAAAAAAAAAAAAGACACCTGTATATCCATGTTTATTATAGCACTATTTAGAACAGCTAGGACACAGAATCAACCTAGATGCTGTCAACAGATGAATGGATAACAAATATGGTGTGCATGCGTGCGTGCGTGCGTGTGTATTATTCAATCATAGAAAAGAATGAAATCCTATCATTTACAGGAAAATGGATGGAACTGGAGAACATATTGAGTGAAATAAGTCAGGGACTATTAGGGGCTAGGAAGGGTGACACACTGGGGGTTGGAGAGCAGTGAAGAGAAATGGGAGACTGAGAAAAGGTGAAAGAGACAGTAGACATAATCAATGGATGATATATACATGCATGGAAATGTCAYAGTGAAACCCATTAATTTGTACCATTTATACATATTAATTAAAAAAGTGAAAGACAAAATAAGCCCAAAGGGATCTAAAGAATATCCAAACTACTGAAGAATATGGCCTTTTAAGGTCCTTCAAATTCTTGAGATTTTAGAAGTCAGTAGTTTATATTTTCTTCAAAGAAACCTCAAAATTTACCCTCTTCCATAGATTCAGGGTTAAGAAGCTAAATAATTCAATCAGAAATATAATGACATACTTCTTTGGGACAAGCGTAAGGTAAATGGTGGGATCAAAAACAGAAAAGAAACAAATAAATACTGAAGATATCAAAAGAAGAAAAACACATCTAAATACATAGCTTCTCCAAGCCTCAGAGAGGACTGAGTGCTAGTGTGTAGCACACTTCATTATTTATTTATTTTTCCTTTTAATCTGTAGTTAAGAGACATGCAGTAGTTAAAACACACACACACACATACACAAAAAACCCACTATGTATCATATTTATAATCATATTACAAGCCCCAGAAATTTAAAAGGAAATAACTAAAATTATGAAGTCTTTTCTTACCATTGACGTCACCACCAAGGCAGGAGAAAATCCCATTGTGAGATAGAAGAAGAGCTCAACCACTTTATACCTGCAAAAAAAGAGAAATGCTTTTGAATTTAAGCATTTCTTTGTTACATAGAGTATTAACATAAACGATTTTCCTTTTTTATTTTAAAAGAGAAGTGTAAACTTTTAACCACTTAAGTGATATATATCCCTCAGAAGAAGACCACTAGGCCTCTACCTAACATACCATCAGGGAGTAACAATGACCTAGCATTTCCTCTAGGATTGAATAGGCAGCAAACATTACATGCTACTTAGAACACGTGTCAAAAGTTACCAAATTGAATTCAATCCACCTTACATCTTTCCCTTTCCAACCCTAGAGTGTCTGTCTTCATTACCATCCACACTTAAGAGAACATCAAACTATGAAGGCAGATGGGGATGCAGTTTGGGACCTAGTTTATCAAGGGCAAAGAAACAACAGCCCCAAGGAAAGAGATGCATTTTGTCTGTGTCTTCATTTTGTATTTGTACAAACTCCAATTCTCTAGCCTAATAATTATCAGATTAGGCTACAGAATACCTGAAAATTCCAAGGAACTCAATGTATTAAAATTCAACTTACATGTCTATCTAATCATAAAAGACTGGAGTCTCTTCAAAGGCAGGGACTGAGTTTATTTATGTTTCCATCTACAGGGCCTAGAACAGTGCTGGATGCAATTTAAGTGCTCAATAATGTCTGCCAAACTAAATGGTCAAGGGTGATTCACTTCGTTCTTAGTGTTTAATACTCAAAACCTGTTGTGAAGTAACCATATCAGGAGAAGAAGGAGCTTGGCAGTTTGGTGTACATCAGAAGGCCTTCCTTCCTTTACTTCCTATTTTATCTGARTATATGATTTAAGAGTTTGAGCCCAAGAAGCAAAGTGTACCCTTGGATTTATATATATCACATATACCCACTTGGCATTATGGTCAAAAGAGATTTTGAGTGAATTTCAAAATCAGAGAGACATTAGTGAGAAGTACCACTTTCTCCTGAAAGGAGAAAATAAGACAATACTCTCTGACAAACACAAATTATATTCTGAAAGCCCTTCTGCCAACCATGGAGATAAAGAATTTAATAAACTATAAAATAAATGACAATGATATCATGGTTATGAGATTCTCAAATTCAAGCATCTTAAATAATAAAAAGAGCTATGGATCAGAAACTGGAACACCTGGGTCCTAATTTCCAGTGAGTCCCTTATGACAAATTTCAATAAGCCTTTCTTTTTATATTGTTCAATGAGCTCTAAATAAGGAACTGTCAAGTGTGTCCCAAGGCCATAATAGTAAGAGTTTAGATATCCTTCCAAATGGCCCTTTTTTTATGGAAGCCTATTTGGAACACCCAGTAGGTTCCTATGTTGGTAGGTATTATGCTGGGCACTTAATATCTGTTACCTTCAATCTTCATAGAAACCTTACAAAAGGCTATTTTTCTTACAAGACTGTAAATTACAGAGGACAAGGCTAGTTGGCCTTAGAATGAGAAATGAGGTCCCACTGATTCCAAAATGCTTGGCCATATTGTCCCTCATCCACATCATATCATACACATGTCATTCATATCTTTCCATGGCAATCTGTTCACCAATAATGAATACCAAATGGTTCTAAAGATTTATTAAAAACAATATAGTCTATTTATGTATTTCTACTATTTTGAAGTACAAATATAAAGAAAATTGTATTGAAATGCAGGTAAAATTTAGGCAGTTAATTTTAAAATTATCAAACGTAAATTATTTTCTCTTACTTTTCATGGTAGAGAAATACATAAATGGTTCCTCCAGCTGCCATGAGCCAGATAAACCAACGCATATGAGATGCCAGGGGTCCAAGTTCACGGAGATTTAACCTACAAACGTAAACATGACAACAAAGAACAGAAGGGATAAATGAAGGAAATTCACAGAACTTGTGTTTTCCTCTAATCACTGAAAACTGAGAAAATAATTAGGATAAGAGCAGGAAGAGAAGGTATCAGAACAATAAGGAGGCAGATGGGCAATCTGGGTAAAATTAATAACTTAAAAAAGATAAAATTCTCGGTCAACCTTTAAGACTTAAAATAAGTTCTAGCATGATTTAAAAAGAGAACCAACTAAGAACAGACAAGCAGAAGTGACTCCCAGCACACCTGTCACGCCTGAATTTGCCTAGGAGTGCAGACTGGGGTAAAGGATACTTGTCTTTTTATTTCTGAGCATGTTTTGGGGAGTGAATTGCTTACAAAGCTTAATGAGAAACCTGAACAAATTTCTGAGCCAGAATCACATACCCATAGCAGATACCTAATACACAGACAACATGTCTCCATTACCTAGCTCTCTGCCAAGATGAAACATGAGAAGAATTATCCCAACATGTGTGATGGAAGATATTCTGTTAGAATTTAACTATGGACCATTGTGAGGTCTGAATTTTAAAATGTTTCGAGTTCATCTGTAATAGTGTCATATTAAGAATATGAAAAAAATGCTCTAATTGTCTATGACTATAAAATTAATATTTTCAAATGGAAAAGGTGCCCTTGCATAGCTAAACTAAATGTGAATAAACTGCCTACTTTGATACCTGATTCCTCAGCTTATACTTAAATTTTTTTTTTACTTATTTACTTATTTTAAATTGAAATGTACTTCACAAAAGCATTCAAGCATTCTTGCTCCAATATGAATCAGACCTATAATTTAGTAAGATGTATTGGAGAGAGCTAGCACTTATTTTTATACTAACAGATAATTATGCTTCTTTGGAACAAGTGAGGCTACATTAGCCAGAATCTAGAAGTCTGCTTTTCTAATGACTATAGCAATTGATGGCATAATAAGAACTTCTGAGTGTTTAAAATTGAACCATGTCTTGATAAGGGAAAACTAATGTTTCTTTAATTATGTGCTTCAAAGCAACATAAGATTGCATTTGATCTGTACCAACAGGAAAGTAAGATCAAGGAAATGGAAGAGAATACGAGGTATTTTAAATAGTTAACTAATTTGGCTAGTTCACTTACTCAGATAGCAAAGAAATGAGAATGTGCTGCATAAATCTCAAAAGGAAGCTTGCTTTTCTCATATATATTTACAGCACTGTTTACTTGAACAATTCAAGTTCTGAAAAGCAGCAGAGGTATATGGAAAGAATATAGAGGGCAAAGTTTATGTTTAAAAATGAACATGCTACCTATAATTAAGTTCATAGCATTCACGTCCTCTTAGACAATTCAATTCTAAGATATTCATTCTAAACAGCAATATTTCTCACTTCAAAACTACAATCTGACCCAAGTAATCAAATAGGAAAAAATGCATATATTTATGTCCTTCAGGGGGAAATGGGATATATGCATGAGAGCTGGGGGCAGGGAGAGGAGGAATAGAAGAGAAATGAGGAATTCCAATCATAAAAATATTGCCTTCAAGAATAGTTTTATCTTACCATGGAGCATAAGATGCTGCAATGAAGAAATAAATTACCATTCTATCACACATGTGAAAACAATGCTCCACTGTCCTGGTAAGGAAGAAAACACAAGTTAGCCACATTTAAAAAAAAAATGTTTAGACTGAAAATATGGGTTATCATTGCACTATGTTGCGATTTCCATTCCTGTTCTAGTCTCTCATGACATTTATAACTTGCTCTTGTTTTTTTTTTTTTTTAATATTATGAAGCCACAAATAAAAAGCTTTATATTGACTTTCAGGTTGTTCACACAATACATATTCTYACCATGTATAAGACAGAAATAGAGCCCCATGATAATTAGGAAGTCTAAAGTGATTAAAAGAAATGAAATCTGTCTTTTCTGATATTGTCCATTTCTTTCAGAGCCTATCTAACAGAGAAATGAAATTCCTTGACAGCAGATCACCTCCTAGTTCTTCCCACAGCACAGGGCATGAGGTCCTGATGTTCAGCAAACACTCCCTGAACTCAGGCTACACTCTTCGTATCTGTTTAGAATGTCTTTTAAAAAGCTTTCATTTTTAAATACYGCAGAGTAGACAAGAGGATGTAATAAAGGCAATGCAGTAATTTAGGAAAAGCCATAACAAAAACACAAAACACTGCATTTGCTACAAGAGGGTGGCCACTCAGATTTCTAAGCAAGTTCCTCTTTCCAAAATCGAAGTCAGGAAATGTATGCACCAAGATCTGCCTCATGGATGTCTACTCAAAATGGCTTAAGCAGAATCTGTCCTTTACTGAAGTGATTTAAAAGTATAAATGCACAGCATCACCTTGTATCTCTCTTCAGTGTGCAGGAGGTTCTAAGACAATCTGAAGGAGCACTAGCATTAGGCTTGACCTCCCCCTACACAGTATTGACCCAACAGACTGATCAGGACCTGTGTTAGTGAGTGAGAATACATCTGTGAGGAGGAATGGTTTTTAGTTTAGTGGCCGGAAGCTACAACTCACCCCCAATGTAACTCAGGTCACAGATCTAAAGAAGCAAGCACTAGATCAATGCTTCTCAAATTTGACTACTATGTATTACAATCACCYGGGGAGCTTTAAATTGTAGCCATGGACTCCAGCCCACACAATTCTACTTTAAGGCTAGAAATGTGATAGAGGGTCCAAGGAAAGGGAGTATCTGTTTTGAAACTTTTTTTTTTTTCCCATTTTCCCTAACCTTCTGGAATGACTGCAACTCCTAGCAAGGTTCAGGGCCTTTTTTATTCTGCTTTCTAGATTGTCAAGACATTGTTAGAATAGGGAGCCACACCTGGAACTTAATCAAGATCTGCCACCCACTTCTCTCTCACTATTCTCACAAGTAAAATGAAAGTAATTTCTTTTTTACATAGAATGTGAAGCATTAAATGTGATAATGTAGGCCATGTAAAATATTTWGCACATAGTAGCACCTAGCACATATTAATATTTCCCTTCTCTTTTCCACTGAAATTAAGGCATTATTTGGATATTTAAAATATTTAATGCAGAGCAAAAAATCCAAATGTGGCTTTTGATTGTACCAGTGCTACATCAAGGTTCAAGAGAGTCTGGTTTCGTTACACTTTCCTTGTCCCTGGCAAGGAGGCCCTGAATACTGAAGTAGGYATCTACAACTCTTTATTGATTCAGAAATCTAGACATCAAAGCCAAGTCTGCTGAGGCAACCACAAGCATTGGAATATGCCAAGATGATAATGAAGTGCTCTGCTTCCAGACTGGCCTCCGCAACAGTGTGCCCTGAGGAGCCAGGGTGGGTACTTTTGTGGTTGTCTTATGAGCATGTTCCAAAGAACCCTTGAAATTCATTGCTGTGGTTTTATTTTAATCCCAGGGAACTGTCACCTTATAGGAAAGGGTAGCAGACAGCAAACTATATGCAGTATTGTGAACGATACGGAGAAAGAAAAAAAAAAGTGCTTAGGGGTCAAAGGTCTTGGGATGATCCAATTCTGCTGGTTTCACTGAGCTAGACAAGTCAGGTTACTTCTTTAAGTCTCAGTTTGCCCAACTAAAATTAAGGAGTTTGGATTAGATGATCTCTAAATATCCTTCCAGCTCTGTTACTCTCGATTCTACATGTGACAAAATCAGTAGTCATCTCCAAAATCCTGCTTGTAAATGAAACATCTTTTCAATACTAGATTTTTTGAATATTTTGAGATAATTTTTTTGAAATTCTATAAAACCAAAAAGTACTTTCAAGTATTACTTTAAATCTCTCTTAGACTGCTCTGAATCCTCCTTTTCCAAGAAAAAAAAATTACCCTCTTGGTTTTAATCTACTAAAAAGCTATTTCACAAGCAACCCACCCCCATCTGAATGTGCTGCTCCTTCTAAAGTTGCTCAAATGATTCCTTTACTGAGAAGGAATGTTTCTGTCTTCTTGTTGGTAGGCCAATGGCCACAGCAATGTTTGCAAAGTGCCTGACAGCTAACAATAGCAAAATACTTAAATGCTATACATGGAACTTCTTTCTAAAAGCTCAACTTCACAAAATGGTAAACCCAAACTGTCATATATCTCCTTACATCACATAGTCCTATGGTCTTTTGTAATTTTCCAATCATTTTCATATACATTATCTTATTCATCTATCACAATAACTTGTGAGTCAGGTATTATAACTCTCATTTTAGCAGTGAAGAAACTGAAGCTCCTTGAGGTCGAGTGACTTACCCAAGATTAAGGGGCAGGACTAGGACTCAAAACCCACTTGYTGACTCCAAAGTCAATGTGCTTTGTCACTAACCCATGGCTATTGCTTCTTACAGTAAGTATCCTTGGTGTGCTAGATAGAATTACAAAATTGCTCTAAGGATTATAAGTTGTTAACTCTTGGGGAACCAGTGAGTTATTATTTGTGGTTATTAGCAAAGGTTTGCTTTCTTAGATGCTAAGAGGGAGAGGAATCCTCAAGCTCTGTCCAACCCAAAGAAAGTGTTCTGATTACAGAACAGCACTTTTTTAGACCCTCCAACATCTACTGCTGCCCTCCTGCAACAAGAAGATGTCCACTCTTTGCCCCATGTGACTAAAAACATGCCAGTTTGGGAGGATGACAATACACTGAGTCAACTAGTTTGGCCTATTTAAATAGCATTTTATCCACTGTACCTTAAGTGACTCTTTTTCCATGATACAATGTGAAATACTGTGGAAACGATGAAGAGGGCACAAAGGCCCATTCCATAAATCCATGCTGTTATCTTTTCCCAGCAGTCATCAGACAGCCGATGGAGGAGGGCACTGCCCACAATGGCCGGAACAATGAGGAACTGGAGGAAAGGTAATGAGAAGTAAACATCCTAGCCATCAGACTTTTGCTAAAAATAGAGGCTTAGCAAAATAATTTTCTAACAAACATTTTCCTTTCTTGAATAATCATGAGAGCACAATGAAGTGGTTAGCTGTTGCACTGGAAGCACACTGTTCCCAGGGACTGTGCCAACCAAGGTGTACACCAATAGGCAGGCAAAGATGCAACATTACTCAACTGTTGCAAAATAGATGTTCTTTATCCTGATTTCATTAAAGAAGGGCACATTTCATTCTACTCTCTAATCTGATTTGGAGTAGGTATTTAAAATATTCAAATGCACTAGGTGCATTGGTGCATGCCTTTAATCCCAGCAACTCAGGAGGCTGAGGCCCCAGTTCAAGGCCAGCCTGGACAATTTAAAAAAGTAAAAATAAAAAGGGCTGAGGATGCAGCTCACTGGCAGAACACCCCTAGGTTCAATCAGTACTTCAAAAAATAAATAAAATAAAATAAATACAGTGTTCAAATGCCACTCATATGCCTAGATTTCTCATGGAGGTCCAGATTTTAAAATATTCTGTTCTATTGCCTCCATGGGCTACTGAAATTCCAATGTTTCAGTAAAGGGTCAATGAATGAATCAAGTCAATGACTAATATTATGCATATAACACCACACACACACAAAATCAATTATTCAGGTCATGTCCTGATTTTTAGTTTGAATCTGTTCATTCTATCCATTTGGGAGTTACTGCAGAATGACAGTAATTTTGCAGCATTTCATTTTTAATACTTTTGCTTTTAAGTAAACAAGAACAATCTGCTTTTAAGGCTCAACTACTCAAAAAATTTTAAGAAGCCAGAATCTTAGAATTTTGATCTCTGTGAGGAAGAAAGGAGAAGAAAGGAGAAATACCAAGAAATGATATTGACCAAATAATATTGTTAYATCATGTGCATGTATGAATATGTAACAACAAATCCCACCATGTGTATAATTATAATGCATGAATAAAAAATATGGAAAAACAGAGAGAAAAAAAAGAATTTTACTCTATGCTAATTTAGTTATATGAGTGTAGCTGTGACTAGTAAGCATTTTATAATACAGAGAAACTCCCAGTAAAAATTTCCAGAAATTCCCAAACACTTTATTAATTATTAAAATAAGCAYACCTAATAAAGAACAAATATTTTGGCACTCTTTTTGTCTTTTTTGGTCTTATTTTTTTTTGGTCCCCAACATCTACTGTTGCCTTCCTGCAACATAATATGAAATCTTGAGAGTTGGGACTGGTACAAATTTTCAGATGCCAAAGATTTTATTGGCCCAGAGCAAAATTAGAATAAGGGCAACGACATAAAGATGCTCATAAACAAAGTTACTTGATTTAAAGAAACATCCTTTGAGACATGAGCATTTTACTTTTTATGTTAAAGTGTCCTCTCTTTAATAAAATGATGACAAGAGAAGGTTGTTCTTTAATCTGTTTTAGACACTCCACTGGTTTCTGAAATCCAATTATCTGTATATTAAGATTACATTTTCTGTTCTAAAGACGATATGAGGTTTTGTCAGTTTTTCTTTAATTTCAGCTTACATAAGTGTTCCTTCACTTGTGACATATTCAGAAGTATAAGGATTTTTAGGTCTGTTCTAAGTAAGTATTATTCCTAAAGGTGAGCTGTATATCTCAATACCCAGACCATTACACTGTACCAGCACTGTCTACGACAATTAAAGTAGCTGCTTGTAAACACTTGTCTTTAGAGGAATCATTTGGCCATTTTCTATATTGCATTTCTAGACTATCTCCCAGCCACTGTTTTCCCCTCAAAAGCCTCRCAAAATTCAACTGGCAAAGGGAATAATAAATCAAAGATAAAATGAAATTTATAATGACATAAGGAAATGACAACTATGTGACATTAACAGGAAAACTATGGAAATATATACATACCCACAAATACTGCATGCACACACAAAAGAAATGTATCAAAGTGTTAACAGTTTGTTTTTGAGTCATTTTGTTTTTAAAATATTTTTCAGTATTTTTAGAGTTTCTTATACTATGTATATTTTGCTCTTTTAAAGGAAAAAATTAAAAGCTTGGTGATCAAATCCAGCTTTGTCTTCAGCAATACAGAATAATATCGCTCTGAGAAATAGTGGTCACTGTGGAGATGGATGTAGGTGCCTCATTTCACTGAGTAAAAAAAGCATCTTTTTTTTTTTTTTTTTTTTTTTTAACAAATTGTGAACTCTCCTTGCCAAATGGGCATGGCTGGATTGTCTTGAAAAGGCAATTCCAAGGGTGACAGTCTTCATAACCAAGGTGTGTTTTTGGCTGTCCTATAACTAGGAGATTTACTTATTACTATTCTTTTAAAGATGATTTTACTGGGAAAAGGAAGTTGAGGATAGAGCAGACAGCAGGTTAGAATACACAAAGCATTCTCCATGCTGATTTCTGGGTAGCTAAGGTCACAGAGGTGAGTAAACCCCACTAATCATGCCGAGGTTATTAGAGCTGATTACCCTTCTTCCCACCAGAACCCTATGGGCAGAACAGCAATTACAGAAAACATGTACTCACTGCATGTGTGTAACAGTTAGCAGCATGTTCATAGCAAGTTGGTTTGTAGCGGCCATTGGCTGGAGCTGGATGGTTCATGAAACTGTAGAAACAAAAAGCCATCATGTGAATAAAGCTTAAAGCAATGAGAAGAACAATGAGGTAGGCCTGCAATGACTGTTTATTCTAAATGARGAGGTCACTGGTGAAAATACATAGTTACAGGAAGAAAATCAGAAGCCATTAAAAAAATGCAAACTGGGGTAATACCAATGATCCTAAAGCAAATACCCAGGTCTACTGAATGAAGTTTTCTTTTAGTTTACTCAAAAGATAAACCTTCTACCAACCAAAACAAAAACCATATTCAACACTTCAACTGGTATCCCTAATGAGCCAAAAAAAGTCATAACCAAATGGTTAATATTAAATATTAATAGAAAAAAAACAAGGGAATTTTCTGGACTTCAGTTGTTGTCATTAAATGAAACGATATATGTTGTATTTGAAAGGTTTCTGTTTTCTCTCCCAGAATGTATACAGCTTTATATATGCAGATCTTTATAAAGCCTACATCCCACAATTAAAGGCTTTCCCAACTAGTTTCCCCATATTGTGTTACCTGTTCTGGCAGCAGACGGTTTAAATGATACCTGGCTTCCTCTAGGCCACCTAAACAAGCAGGTATATTTTCACCTTCATTCTTCCTGAATTAAAGGAGTTTGCTTCAAAAACCAAACACATGACTAGTACCTGATATCCTGGCTACAAAATTTATATATCTCACAAATTAGCATATGGATGTAAATATTTAAACCTGTTACCAATACAGATACATGCTGGAATTCCATACTTCCTGTGTACCCAGACACTATCATAATCAGCAACAGAATGAAAACCTAAATACACAAGACCAAGAGATGACAGTGCTCATCTATTTCAGTGTGCAGATGAGGATGCCCCTAAATCTGCACTCACCCAGGTTTCATGGTGGATCCAGAATTACTCTGACCACTCCCAAGAGGAGAAAAAAAAAATTGTCTGAACAAAGAAGTAGATGCAAAGCAGAAATAAAGAGGGGTCAAAGAGCCCTGGCCAGCACTTAGGTCTCASAGGTCAACAGGTTTCATACAATAAAATTGTCTTTTTGTATGAGCTAGTTTGGAGGAGGGGAAAAATTTTTGCCACTAACAAGTTTTGACTAGTCACACATTATTTGTTGACATGATGAAAACCCAGACCAGGCTGACCAAATGGCAGAGCCATATTATCAAAAACTGGCTAAAACATGGTAGCAAGCCATTCTAAACAGGGCCCAGTTGGTGATCAAAAGACTGGCCAATATTTTCTCCCTGATTAAGAAGGGCCTTAAATCCTTAAATCAAATAAATAAAAACCAAATGGCAGTTCTGTCAACCCCATACACACAGTTCAGGTGGAATATCTACTATGGGATGAATTTGGGACAGTGAAGATCTTGAACCATCAATGGGTTAGATATTTAATTAGTAAAATATCTACTTATTGATGTTGTCCACCTGGTGACTTGAAAACTATTTTTAAAAAATCTACAGCAAGCACTTCTGAATTTATCCAAACTATTCTCATACATAGAGAAATGACTTCAAGCAATCATCTTTTCTCCCATGATAATTCTTTAAATAATTTTGCTAATTTCCTAAGGGATGATGGTGTTGCTATACAGCTCTTATTAGTAAAAAGAAAAATAATTACGCTCTTGGGAAGAATGCTTTCAGTGTCTGAAGCATTGAAGGACCTACCACATCATTACCCTGAGACATAACAACAGAGCTACAAGTAGCACAGCCTAGTGGGAGTTTCAATGGGTAAAAAGTGAGGGTCCAAAATGGCTGAAGTTAGATTAAATTGAAAATGCTCCATGTAGGGTGCAGTAAGTAGGATCTGTCTACCCACCAAGAGGCTGCAGCCTAAGATAGCAATTTATATCTCTGGCAGCCCAATCTAAAAATAGACAGGCCATTACACAGCATCAGGGATAGATTTTCACATTTTCTCCTATAAGCAAAGAAGCTGGTAGCCATGTTTTTGGCAGTGTGGTCCCTGCTCACCTGGAAAAATTCAGGTTAAAAATAAAGTAGGAAGTTGTAGAGAAAAAAAGCCCCTGTCTAGTGACTTAAGGGAGTCTCTTTTGATGGACAGGGACAAGATTAGGGCAATAAGGAAAAGTAAGAAGCAAGTATCTTGAGAGTRTTTCACTGTCTGGGACTCAGAGGGATAGACAGCACAATTGTTCTGCTAGAAAAATTTAATAGAATTTTTCCATTTCTCTCTGATCTACCASCATGCCATCAAGCCTCCTCCTCAGTGTTCTGAAGAAATTACTTCTAAGACCTAAATGGAAAAGCAGATGTAAAATGCAAATAAACTCCCACACATGTGCCTAATCTCTTCCTCCAAAAAAGAACAGAGAAAGGTTCAAGTGTTATGGAGAATAGGCACCCATTTACAGAAGACATCTCTGCTAAAGTAGAGTAACTTAATGGTTACCCAGTGCTTAGAAAAGGGTAACCAGCATGCTGGAAAGGGTCTGAGGGAAGGTGATTTAGTCAGAGGGATGGGAACCACACTTAATACATTATTAGTTAAGTAGGGTTTTTTAATTCATTGCCTMACTTTGTCTTTCAACATTCTCTCTTGCCTCTCCCTTGCCCAGTGTCCTTATGTGGCCATCCCATGTGACAGAATGCAAAACTACAGAGGGAAAGAACAATTAGGGATCCGGAACAAGCCTTAGCAATCCACCAGCAGATCTCAGAGGCCTATGATCAAATCCTACAAGCTGTATTTGATTCCTCTGTGTTCCTTTCTCCAAGTGCAACATCATTACCTTCAAAATACATTCCAGGTCAGTACTTCTCTCTACAACTCCACAATTCCTACCTTCAATCAAGACACCAACATCTGAAGTCTGTGAAAATATAGCCTCTTAAMTGGCCTTGCTGCCTGTCCTCACCCAGACTCTTCTTTAATACAGCAACCACAGAGTCTAACTCGCAGATCACATCACAACCCTATCCCAACTTAAAACCTATCTTTTGGTAACACTATAACATGTCCCTGATCCACAAGCCCTGGGCAGTGTAGTTTTCACTTCTCCAATCTCAAGGTACTCCCTTCCTGCAGCTACACCCTCCAGCTACAACACCTTTYTGTTCTTTCAACAGGTCAAGGTCTTGTCTATCTCAGGGCACTGGTTGTTTATTTCTGCAGGAAAACTCTTCCCCAGCAGGCTCAGTTCTCTTCTCATCCTTCAAGCTTAGCTCAGATGTCACCTGCTCAGAGATTTTTCCAGACCTTCCTACCTAAAGTGTCACTTCAGCCCTTCCCAACAACCACAGACTTTATCATAATTCGTAAGATTTTTTAAAACTTGTTTTTCGTTTCCTCTTTCCCCACTGTGGCATCAATCCCATGAAGGCTGTCTTGTTCACCATGTCATTTCCAATTCCAAGGACAATGCCCAGCTTATTAATGAAGTTTAATTTTAAAAAAATGCTCAATGAATAAATGAATAGAAAGACATTTCAACTACTGCTCAACTATTTTAACACAATTTAGTTTTCCTGGGGGTTCAGAAGGTTCTGTAAGAGAAATAGGCAGTTCTATAGTCAATGCAACTTGGAATCTCAAAAAATGAAAACAAAGATGGAGACAACAGATCCTCCAAGGGCCCCTTCAACATCACTTAGGCCAACCCTGGGCACAGCACCTTACTATTTATTAGCTCCCCTTTGGAACTGAGCATAATTGTTCAGGAAGTGTATAATGCCAATGTGACTTCATTATTAAATAAAGGGAGAAGGCATACCTAAGGAGACCACCCCAATCCTATGATTCAATGCTCTAAAAACATGCAAAACAGGCACCCATAGAAGACTTCTAACACTGCAAGATAAGATACTTTCCCATATGTTCAATCTTGAAGCTAACCATTATTCACAAGGCTGGGATGAGGAAGAGAACATTCATATCTCAGAGACATTGTGGTGTGGACACAGAAAAAGAAAGGATGAGCTATCCACAAGGGTGGTAGGGAGAGAGACACAAAACTGAACTCCTAGGTCTGCCCCTTCTTAACTGCCTATAGGCAAGTTCTCTGTTGTTCTTTAAACCTATTTGTTCTTTTATTAAGTGGGTATAAAATTCTGTCTTCAAGGGTTATGGTTGATGAAATGGGTAAACTATAAGTACCCAGACAGTGCCTTGGCACCAACAGGCACTCAATTAATGTTAGCAGTTATTATCATTAGTCAGATGTTGTGAATGGGGAGGAATGACTATATATGTATGATTTGGCATACTGGGATTCTCAACTGGGAAACCAATAAAATAAGCAAGAAAATATTGTGTCCCACTGTAATCTTTCACATCCTCAGTTTTTTGAGAAACCACAATTGCATAAATCCCTCCAGTTAGGATAGCAGTCTGTTTCCTTACAGCCCTCCTTCATAGGAATGGCAGAACTCTGGATGCTGACCCAAAGCCACAATAACCACCAAGTTTCATTTTGAACAAAGCAGCAAGGTGTTCTTGTAATTTAGGCATAGCTACAAACTGTGGCCTAATGAAATGTMTTTACTGCAATCCAGTGCTTTTCAATTGGGTCTAAATGATCTATCAGGAAAAGGAGCGAACTATTTGAAACACAGCATGTCCCTTCCTACAATTCCTGTGTAATTTACGTACCTGCAACTATAGTGAATCCTCAGAAAGATGTGTAACGAACACAGCTTCCAGAAAAYGTAGACTAGTATTCTCAACATTTTAATGTGTAAACCACAAAAATCAGGACTTTCTAGTTATATCACCTTTTATTTGCAAGTTTTATTTTCAAGTTCAAATTGATGCTTACAAATAGCTTTCCAATCTAGCCTATCATAAACAAGAAATTACAGAATCACTCAATTCTTCAATCAAAATCAATGTAGATCTAGATGTCATAAAGAAACTGTTAATATCCACAGTGCACAATAATATGCATCTGCTGAGAAAATTACTATCTATACTACACCAAAAGAAAATGCCTGTATTTTCAATTTTTAAATGGATAGAAGAATCTAAAATCACATTACAGTGATGCTAATAAAAACTAGACAGATTACTGTCCAGCAAAAAGAAGGTAGTGCAATCAGCTGAGAAGGCAGGATCCTAAGTGAAATTGGTTGGGCYTTTTTTYCCCTTTCATTTCTTTTAGGACTGTTTGAATGTTTTTGCAACAAAAAATAAAACAGGCTTTTTTGTTCTTTCTTTAAAATAGAAGAATTCAAAGGGGCAACAGAGAAATACAAACTTAATCAAATAGGGAAGGGGTAGTTTCACAGAATAGAGCCACTGTTCTCTGAAAACAGGAAGAACACAGATGTGCAGACAAGTAAAACCAAATCAAACAAACCACATGCATAGAGCTTCACAAAGCATGCCTGAACCACTGTTACATTCTCCCTTATCCCCTATAGTCCCCAATTCTGATATAAGGTTTTAAAGCCAGAACACTTTTGTTCCCTTTTGCCCTTAGAAACATTGATATGAAGTTCCCATTTGGGAAATGGTGCCTGGCTTTGTACACCCTGAGTGATGAGCAATATTCAGAAGCCAAATCTTCAAGTTGGTCCCCTTCCTGATGGCACAGACTACTACAACTCATGGGGGTCGGGGGTTRTTGGCTCCTTTACCTTTTGGGACTAGGAAAAGAACAAGATAAGTATAATTCGTAAGTCGGCAGTGAAGGAAGATACTGGAAGCAAGAAAAAGGTGCACTTGAAAATTGTAAAATTAAGGCAGTGCCTAAAAACTCAACAATAACCTCTTTGGAAGATTTCAGGTATGTCTTATTTTAAGTTCCCCATCATAGCCTGCTGAGCTAGCTGGCTGGTGGTGAAGGTTTGGGAATAGGGATGGCTGCCTTGTTCAGACAAAGGGATGGAGAGTTACTACAAACACAGGAGGGGTGAACTTTCACCCACTTAAACGAAACAGAAAAGCCCAGAGCTTCCTCTGGGAACTATGGGCCAGCGGCCTCCATCCACTGCTRTAGGGCAGAGACCTGCAGAAGTGAAGGCCACGGTGCGCACCCCCCACCCCTCGCGGTCTGGCGTCCCCACCAGCTCTTCAGTGAAGAAGCAGCCGACCTGCCTTCCGGTGGCGCCTCCTGGGTTCCTCCTCCTCCTCTTGGTTTCCCAACCCAAGCGTCTCAACAGCAGGTCTCTGCACTCCACTCGAAAGCTCTGCACTTGCTCCTTCGCTGAGCCCAAAATAGCATGGCTCTGGCACTCTTAAGCCTGACAACCCAGCGAGGCCCCGACGTGGTCAGAGAAGGCTGGGCCGGATGAGCATGCCTCAGTTTCCCTGTTGCTGGGGCCATTCACAGACAAAGCATCCAAACCGCCCAGGCCACTCTCCCCGGCTTTATAACACGTCAGGACTCAGTAGCAACCCTCATTCCGWGCGCCCCGGGAGACCCCACCCCGGGGGGTAAAAGGATGGAGGCCAAAGCCTGGGCGGGAGGACTGGGGGGGCGGCACTGAGGCTGGGGCTCGGGTCCTCAGGGCTAGCAAGAGCTCTGCTTGGATGGGGATCCGGCGGGCAAAACCAGACAATTCCTGGGAACCAGGGCAAGAGCGGGCTCCGGATGTGCAGATCGCGAGGGGCCACCCAGGTCAGGAGCGAGCTCCGCGGAGGAAGGGGATCGCCCAGGGACCGAAGGGCAGGGAATCCCTTGGGAGCCGAACCAAGCCAGGGCGCGGGATCCACCGGGATGCACCCAGGTGAGGAGCCAGGACCCACGCGCGAAGGGGCGGAATGTGGGGACCCGTTCCCAGCATTAGCGGCGCGGCGGGCGCGCCAGYCTTCTCACCGCTGGAATCGATTCTTGAACCGCATTGATCCTCCGCTCCTCCTCGGGGGCCGGGAGCTCCGTCTCGTCAGCACCGGCGGCGGGGCGCGCGGCCCTCATGGGYTTGGGCTGCTCCAGAGGCCGCCTGCGTGCCCGGTGGAGCCGCTGGGCCGGAGTGGACCACGCTGGGGGTCGGGACAGGGCCGGGGCCAGATCGGGCGGCTGGGGGCGGGAGGGAGGCCGCTTAAACGGCCCCGGCRCCTCCCGCCTCCCGCCTCCCGCCTCCCCAGGTCCTCCGCCCCCGGGTGCCCGCGCCCCGCCCCACCGCCCAGCTCCACCCCCGCCCGCTCCGCCCTTCTGCGTGCGCCCGCGGCCGCCAGCGCGTCACGGCACCGAGCGGCCAATCAGCGCCCGGAGCGGCGCGGCGGCTACGCTGCCATTCATTTCTGAGGAGCTCGGGCGGCGGGGCGGGGCCTTACTGAGGCGGAGGCGKGGCGAAGGGAAAGGGGAGGGGCGATGGAAGGGCGGCGCTCTTCCATACAGCGTTGAGATGCAGCAAGAATGGAGGTGGAGGAGGGGGAGAGGAATTATAAAAGGATTTGGACTAAGACTCTGAAAAGCAATTATGAAAAACATAGCAAACAAGGACCTCTGATCACATTCTATTCTTATCTCGGTATCATTCATCCCTCCTTCGTCATTCATTTCTCCATCTTTCTATTCCTTTATTTCTTCATTATTTTGAGTGTCAACTAGCTATTGTGAGAGATCCAAGGCAGATTTTTTAAACCTTTGCTTGTCTGTCATATGAAAGGATTGAAACCTTTAGGAATAATCTAACACTGAGATTCAATGAGAACCATGAAAGGAGGGATCTTCTACAGGGATTCTTTTATGTTATCCTCCCATTTATCTTTTGATATTTTATCCAAGCAGTTTCTAAACCATCTAAAATATAATGCTGAATCAGGGTCTTGTAGCTAAAACTTTTGAACTCAGAAAGTGGGCTTTCTGGAAGAGAGGTTCAAATGGATGAAGGAAATAGAAAAATGAATGAGTGATTTACTGAGTCTTCCTGGGACCACTTCTGGWATTTAGATGTGCTCCCCTCAGTTAATCTGTCCATATCATTCCCTACTCCTCAAAATGGAAACTCTCCAGAGAGCATGAAGTCAGCTTGTTAGAGGGGGTTTACTCTGCTTGCAATGAAGCATTGGAAAGCTGGAGGAGGATTCTTCCACCCATAATTTTAATTTTACCCATAATTTCCTTTTCTTTAAATCTGAAGACCAGAATCTAGAGGGATGTTTTCTATGGTGGTTGCATTATTTTTTTTTTTCAGGAACATTTCTGGATAGGCATTATCTTCCTCACATTCACACATAAGGAAACTGAGGCTTTTAGAGGTTAAGAAACTTGTCAAATGCAAAACTCATACTATCTTCCTCTAGCAATCTTTTCAGTATGCCTACCTGCCTCTTCCTATGTTTTAAAGTAGTCTCTTTAAATATACACACACTTTCTCTCTCTCTTTTTTTCCATACTAAGCCATGAAAATGAAGATGGACTGAAAAAGTCTATCATTTGACTACTTAGGAATACTAAATTAAGTTATAGGGAAGGGAAGGTAACAAAGGAAAGAACTAATAAAGACAGATGAAAAATAACCATATGAAATAGCATAAGAAGGGTTATAAAAAAGGAACCTCAACTGTAACAAATATACCAGTCTGTCGGAAGATGTTGATAATGGAGGAGGCCATGCATTTTGAGGGGGGAGATTTATGGGAAATCTCTATACTTTTGCTGTGGACTTACAATGGCTCAAAAAAAAAAAAAAAAGCCTTAGAAAAGAAAGTACTGGTATATGCTGCAACATGGATGAACTTTGAAAACACAATSTTAAATGAAAGAAACCAGTTACAAAAGACCACATATTATATGGTTGCATTTATATAAAATGTCTAGAATAGACAAATCCATAGAGACAGAAAATAGATTAGTGGTTGTCTCAGCAAGAGAGTGGGAAGGTATTGGGGAGGAAATGCTAAGAGGTATAAAGTTTCTTTTGGTAACTAAAGAAAATGTTCTAGAAGTATGGTGAGGGATACACACTCTGTGAACACAGTGTAAGCAATTAATTGTACACTTTAAATGAATGGTTTGGTATATGAATTGGTGTGGTTTGGTATCTAAATGGGGCTGGTTTGGTATCTGAATAAGGCTATTAAAAACTATTTTGAAAAACATCCGTTTCTGTAAAAAGATAAAAATCAAAACAGATTAAAATGGCTGGAGCAGGAAAACTATATTACTTATACTTTTATTAAAAATTTTCAAGAAGCTCAGACTTAGTAGGTACTCAACAAATACATGAATTTGAGAAAACATAATAGCTGAAAGCAACAACAATACTATGAACCAACAGATGCCAGGTCACATCCCTGAGAGTAGGTMATGGATGTGCAGAGATGTGTGATCAGAGTGTGGTGAGGCTAATTAGGGGAGAGAGGGAGAGAAAGAAGTCTGARGAAGGAGTTTGAATGAAATGCCAGCATGATTTGGCATAGCCTTTCACAAAAATAGATTARATAGGATAGAATAAAACACCTTGACCTACAATTGTCTCTTCTGCAGAATCATAGGAATTATTAAAGGAAAGTGGCATATTTAACAAATATGATCAAAGTTTTAAATTAGCCTGATCATTCACGAAGCCTATCTTCCATGGTAAATGCAGGTCTCAAAAAATAAAAATAAAACACAATAAAAATAGCATCCTTTGAACACCTGCCACACTTTAAAAAATTTTTTTTTTTAAACTGAAGTTTCCCTTTGCATCTCCTTCCGAGAAGGAACCCAGTTGTGTTTGCGAAAAAGATACACCAGATTCAGATTCAATTTAGAGATTAGGGGGGTGGGAGCAGAAGAAAATGGAAAGTTGTTGGTTCTAGTTTTTTTTTTTTTTTTAATCAGCAGGATGTGACATATTTCTTGAGCTCAGAGAGGCAGTTGTTCTTTCTGAGAACCTGTAGGCACACATTTGCACACAAAAAGCCTATGCCTAGATAGAAGGGATTTTTGACAGAGCAGACTTAAGGTTCAGAGGTAACCTTGGGGAGAATACTCACTCTGCTCACTGAGGGACACAGAGACCCTGGATAAGATGCCAGCCACACTAGGAAGCACCAGGGACGCCCTCCCCTTGATGTGACGTGATCAACAAATCAGCAAATAGCAGACCTGCTCCAGACTTTGACTCTCAATGTCCTGGAAAGGTGACTAAACTTCAGTGATTGGCTTTCAGTCTGTCTCTTTGCAAAGATGGCCGAGTAAATCAGTTATTCAAAGGTAGATGCTTCCTGTCTTTTCCCCATTCCTGAAGAGAATATCTTTTCCTATTTGATCTTTTGTCTGCATTTCCTTACCTGCTGGGAATGCTTGTCTCTGGATCCCCAGCTCCTAGACTTTCACGATAAAATAATGGGAGAAAACAATGGGAAGGAGGAAAAATCCAAGGGGGAAAAAAAGGGAAGAACTTGAGAAAATAAGATGKATTGCTCTATATGATGAAGATGAGTGAAAAAAGAAATCCATTATCTGGGGGGATGTTGGTCAAGGTGTTTTGAGAGGTGGAGAGGGATTTAGCAAAGTAAGAGGATTCTCAGAATAAGGAATTTGAGTAGAATGAGAAGAAAATGAAAGGAACCGGGAGAAGTTTTATTAAGCGTGTTAATAGATATGCTAATGTTTTCTAGCAAATACAATTTTGGGTCCCATTTAAAATTATGGTTATTATCAACTGTTTGGATGTATTGATTCAGCAGTGACTCAGAGATGAGATGGCATGGAAAGGGGAGGTACAATGGTTACATGGATTAATTTCTTTGAGTGCCTAACATGGTCCTAGAACTTCTGTATCCATTATTTCATTTTATTCATTAAACCTTCCTGTGAGGTAGATAATATCATGCTTATTTAATAAATGAAGAAGAGAATGCTTACAGAGTTTTTTTTGTTTTTTGTTTTTTTGCAAAATGCTTCAATTTGTATATGGAAGTAAAAAAGTTAAGATATAGACATGAGCCCAGGTTTTCTGACCCCAAGCTCAATCAATGCTTTTCCTGTCCTTGCTTCATCTCAGTATACGACTGTGTCATTCCTCATGGCACAAAGCAGCATTCTTCTCTCAGTGGACAATCAATAAGTGGCATTCTGTTGGCTATAGTGGTTGTTTCCCCTCAAAAAAAAAAAAAAAGATTATTCTTTGAATGTAGGACACTTTGCCTGCCTCGTGACTTTCTTACTGAGCATGGAAAGAGGGTTAGGATGCTCAGCCCTTTCTTTAAAAGAATCGGTGAGAATAGGGATGGGAATACCAGAAAGTGCAAAGTAGACACCCCAAACCCACATCCAACGAAAAAGAAGCTGATGGCAGTCGTTGTCACCATGTGGTTCAGAGACAACAAGATCACYCAGATGTCAGTCTGTTTAAAATTGATGTCTGAGCTTTTGCTTAGTCAAAATAAAAAAGTAATATTTAACAGAATGTAGATGGCCTTCCATTAGGGTCATTTAGTCCCGATGCACCTTACTTCTTTAGGTAGAGGTGGTAGGAACCACTGTGGATACACACCTGTCGAGTTCTTTTATTGTGCCACAGTCAACCGAGAGGGGAAAGAGTTGAGAGATTCTTAGTGCCTCTCTATGGTCTCAGTCATCCTATGTGGTCATGATAAATAAGCAGAAGTAGCAAAATGAGGCATAACTTCCCTTAAAAAKGGAATAGCAGAGTATATTGATGGAAATGCTCAGTACTATTTTTAACTTGCCTGCACTGAAAGCTGATGCGCTGGAACATGCTTACTATTGTAGAGGGTCCAGATACAGTAGTTTATCATCATTCATTTATAATTCAAATCCAACTGGGCCTTTTTGAACAAGCCTTGCACCTCCATTGCTGATATATACTTGACTCTATTTCTGGGCTCTGCATATGCAGATTCGACCCATGGTGGATAGAAAATATATATTTTGTTAAATTCCAGAAAATTCTTAAGAGCAAAACTTGACTCACTGCACTGAGTACTATACTGAATTAACACAAGTGAAGAGATGTGATAGGCAGGCACTGTATTAGATATTGTGGCTACTCTAGAGACCAATGTAAGTATGCAGAAGGATGCACAGTCTATATGCAAATACTGTGCCTTTTTCTATAATGACCTTGAGTATCCTCAGAGTTTGCATTCTGAGATCTTGTAGGAGAGGGCAGGTCTTGGAACCAATCCTCTGTGGATACTGAAGGACAACTGAACTTGG